TTTTGGTTCATTTATTGGTCGGTATTTCCTCTGTGTCAAGTGCGCTTATAAGCTACTATCACTTTGTATTGGAAGTGGTTAATCTGTTGCTATAGAAGGGCAATATCTGACCTTTTATTAATAGATGAATTTAATAGACAGTAATTCATTCTCTCCCACTGTACAGCTATAAAATATGACTATTTCACACAGATAGCATATGGGTTACGGATATCTTCACGAGGTTGCTTCTCTGCAGCAGAACTACAAATTGAATAATGTTGGACTTTTTATTATTCTGCCTGAGGTTAGTTTTGGTTGTGAACTTTAACAGACAAAGTCGCTGTGGAATGACTTACGCCTGCTGAATCACCGCATACCTCAAAATGCACTTTTAGATGAAGTTGGGATAAAATTCAGTATGACCAGCTGAAGTTCAATCCATAAAGTAATTAAGAATTAGCCTTAGCTTTTTAGAAAAGTGTAGAATACTTGTCCGGGTTATTTAGGAAGTTAGTCGATGTTTCATGATGCTCTATGATAAGGCTGAACTATATTTACTGGTAACCATATTCGACATTTTGAACATGTTATTGAATTTCACTTATTCTTTTTCATCCCATCCCGTTATTGATTCAATTACATCTGTACTTTTGGTGATTTTTTTCTTTCTTAACTGTGGCTCACTAGTCTAGGCTGTTAACTTTAAACTATTGCAGACTTAAATCCTGCGCCAAGTACCAGGGTTAAAACATCTAAGTGGTGTTAACAGCTATTCTACAATAAGTGTGACTCGTGTGTATAATTAGCATTTATTTCACATATATATGTCAATGGAAAAGCGTGATAGAGATAGTTTAATGTGGCTGCCATGTTGAACGTTAGATTTTTGAATTTAAAACCCTGGATAAGTTTCTTTCAGGTCTGTGATAGGTTCTCATGACATCAAAGTTTTTTCAGTGAAGTTGATCAGAAGCTCGATTTACAGACTGTAATATACGATAACGAATAAAACGTTTAATTTTCACACAAATCTCTTACTTCCATATGAAAATTTCTTGTCATATGATGAAAAAATTATGCTAGGATAACTGTATTAATTGTCATATGTGATTTCCGTTTAATTCAACTAAGCGCGTCTTCATTGTGCTTCTCATATTGACGTTGATGATCTTATAAATCGTAATCAGTATGAAAGACTAACTCTGAAGACCACCGTAAGAAAGTTACCTGCAATGGTCTTTATTTGTTCAACCAACGTAAGTAATATCATTTGAAATAATTTATGTTATGTAGGCTTCACCATTTTCATAGAAGAATAGATTTTCAAAAATGTCATGCAGATCTTTCTGTGTTTATTTAGGGTGGCCCTTACAATTGTTGTTTTGAAAAAGAATTGAAACCTAGAAAAGGTAAAACAGTGGCTTAAAATCAGTCTTTTCGTAATTTGATTTTGCAATATAGCCCTACGTCATCATTTTCTGTTTGATTGGTGAATTAGACTGCATCAACTACTGGGTTTGTGTGTATAAGAAATATGTCGATATGTTCTAATTTCACCGCTGTAAATGTGTCATCCACATGTTTTCACCATACCTGGGGTAATGCGTTCCCAACTTTCCATAAATATATCTGCTACAATTGGGAATATTAGTGATTTCAAAGTGTTACTCCTTCCCTTTTCTTGTATATTCATCCTAAACTTGAAGGGAGTAGATGTTAGGCATAATTGCTCCCCTAGAATAATTTTTTCCACTGGTTTTCTGAGTGTGAGCTGTTGGGCAGCCTTTGGTTAGTCTGCAACTGCCTGAAGCACCATATTATTTGACATTATTGTAGAAGTTTGTTGCACCAAACCTGACCATTTTTTCATCTAACTGTATTTTATATACATGATGTAAAAGTAACTCATTATTCTTTCGGATATCAACATCAACTGAGTTTTGTAGTTTGAGTCCCAGCGTGACGCTAGCTATTCAAATACTTTGATTTGATGAGCTCTGAAGCTTAAGGAAGTGGGATTTCAGTGTCCCACTCCTAGCCAGCAGCATATGATTGCTATATGAGTGTTGAAGTGTCTTTTTGATTTTGATCTATAGTGCTCATTCTAAGGAAATTATTCTATGATTCGAGCACTCATCTAATTGAGATTTCACTTCTTACAGTACACATTAGTTTGATGCCTTTTACCTTGACTGGGCTCACGACACACATATTGTGTGAACTCGATTCCTTAAAGCTCAGCTAATATATCACAAGTTGAAACTCCACTGCAACCAGCTGATAGTAAATTGTTTTAAATCATACTTTCATCTGTCCACAATGTTTACAAGAATGAAACTGTGTCTTGTTGTGAGGTTTGCTTTTTGTGCGGGGCTCAAAAATTACCAGTCATACTACATCGATGGTCATCTCTTCAAATCTTTCTCTCTCGTAAGGAATCTTTCCTTTTTTAAGCATAGTATGTGTTACATGGGGGACGAAGTATTGACTACAGTGTGATTTTATTATTTTTTGTGGTGAAATAATCAGACATCAGGTCGTAGTAGTATCGTAACACTCATTTATCATCTGGATGTAAAACGGCTACATGTAAAGTTTATCCTGTTTATTGTATTCTACACTCTTGAGGAACACTGATTGTGACCTTAACCCAAACGCTACCTAAATATTTCCACATAATGATAGATTTAAGTCGAAGAAACAGTATATATTTTGCTTTGGTGAGTTATATTCAAATTTAATAAATAGTACGGTCATAGATAATACCGATGAATAATGGTAGGATCTCTCGTTGAAAAATTAGACCTTGTGTTTAGATTAGTTAGAATAGTGTTTACGTACGTAGACAAAGTGGTTTGAATAAATTACGCAGCGTTATATTTGTTCTCACAAGTATAATTAAATATTGTGCTTGGCGTCAACTGATGTTCAACTCTTTTATGATCTTTTTCTTTGACCAACTTAATTGTAACAATCTGACATAACATTTATCACTGCTGGTCCTATCATTGGCAGATTAGTTAAAGTTTGTATCCACTTCGATAAAAAGTGAAGGGGAATTGGAACAATTTGAAGTAGAATTGTACAGCTATTTATAATGTTCAGTTGTACAAGTTTCAATTTATTTAAACCAATGAAGTGTTTGTCTAAATTACCCTCCTGATATGTATAGATTTGTAGCTCAGAAGACATTGGATTTTCACTAAGCTTAAATAGTTGAATAATGATAACACTCACCAGTGTAACAAAATGGTCTGCGTTATAAGAACGCATTATAGACAAAGGTAGGCAGATAGACGTACCGATGTTAAGCCTTTCATGCAAGTAAATCAGTTATAGGCGTTATACTTCATAGAATCACAAACAGAAAATGAACTATAACCGAGTGGTGTTTAGTAATACGAAAGTGAGTGTGAGAGAATAAATGAATGTTAATAAGACTGTTCATAATTCTAAAGGAGCGATAGATTTTCAGCCACGTCATGCAATACTATTTTGAAGACTACTAATAGACATCTTAAACTTCCCTACATAGACTAGACCAACAACTGGAAACTTATTGGGTTGGTGTCGTAACTTGATCGCTTCTGTCTTTTTCCAACCCAACCCTAGCATTGCTTGTTGAGAATTCCGTCAGATTACAATTAGTTTTAATTTTTATAATTTTTCGGTGCACTGATTTGTATTAGTAATTATTTAAATTTATTTTTTGTATAGTCAATTAACGAAAAATGTCACTTGATTTTTACCTATATCACAATTATGTATACAACTGCAAAGTTTGTGTTAAGCTGTTGTTGTTGCTGCATTAGTACTCCTCAGAGTTGTAATTAGTTTAAGTGTATGGCGCAAGTTTTACTTTAAATCCAGGGTGTATTTTACCAATTTACTACTTAATATTTATTATATTTAACAGTTGTAGTAGTTATATAAACGTTTTAATCGACTTTGCATCCAACCGGCAAGTACTGAAAATTACTTTGGGAACAATGAAGAATAAATTTATTGATCACTCAAGTAGTTTACGATAAATGAATGAAAAAAAGTTTGTTTGAATACCTAAATAAGTTCAAGTTCAGTGCTCAGATTACTTTTCGTCTGATCATTCACTTGTTTCCATCCTTGCCAATGTTATTTTTCTGTAATCTTTGAAAGTAAGTTGTCAACAAAGAGGAATCTCTTCGCGCACTCTCATCGGATCGCATTCAGTAAACTGGGTGGTAGTTAAGAAAAATGCTTTTAAAAACTGTCATATTATTCACAAATTTCATAATCTGTTTAGAATTTCAACTAAAAACAGCTAAAAAGGATCTCTACACAGTCTTAATGTCACTGAAAGCCTAACGACTGAAAGGAAAATAGCTTAAGGTGCTTTTAAGCAGCCATTAAGAAGTAACATCGGCTTACAGTGGCATTCACTATTATGTCTCATCTGCATCCTCAGGTAGAGGTATGGTCTCTTAGATATTAGTTCTTTTTTCTCTTAGTATCTCATTCCGAAATGTCAATGTAGATCTATTTTCATCATGACAAACTCCTTGAACTTTGTACACTTGTTGGTAACTTTATCCTATTTTCAGGTCCTCAGTTTCAATTGAACTTTACCGTTTTTTTATATTTTATTGCGTCATTCGTTTATTCAGTTCAGTGGTTTTTCTGACACCTTGACAACTATGATTTTGTCAAGTTTTATAATTCGACAACGTGAAATTGATTTGCATCTAGTAATTGACTAGTAGACTGTACATATTGGTCGGACGCCGAAACAATCGTTTCTTCCCGCCTAAGGTGAATACAGTTGAAACTGACAAGAACCGATACCCTAAGACGTTGTTTACTAAATGACAAAAGGTTTTTTTTTACTCGTTTTCAAAGTGAGTTATATATCCTGTGAAAAAACTAGCAGTGCACATTTTTCTTACGATACAATTAATTTAATTTTACTCTTACCTTTTTATCTTGCCGCTAAAAATGTCGTCAAACTCTATTCTAACGTAATATTTTTGTTTGTATTACAGATTCAATTTCCTTTCACGATACAAAATTGAATGTTCCTCCCTCACAGTACCCAAAATCATTGTGTGTTTCTGCTCGGAATGGTTCATTAGGTTATGATGATAATGATGATGACATAAATTTTGTAAACAACAGTCGTATTGCCAGTGATACTACTACCGCCATTTCAGCTAATACTTCAAATGGTCGTCACCACCGTAAGGAAGCTTTCATACAGCAGCATACAAACGGTGATAAAGAAAATAAAGAATATTGGCATGAAAAAGTTAGGCGATATGGTTGGCGGGCGAAACTAAAACCTGAGATACAAGTGTTGAAAAATTTTTATTTTGATGTTTTAATCGGAGCAGATGGTAAACGCAGTTGTCTTGGTAAGTTGTTACTTTCATATAGAAAAATTAGAGACTTTTCTTTTCCTCACAGAATTATTGATCTACAGTGGGAAGTGAAGGCTTCACAATGCATTTGGATGGAGGAGTACTCTAGTCTGAGTCATGTTTTGTAAAATGTATCAATTTCAAGCGATATACTGTCCTGCTAGGTACTATGTCACTAAACGTCATTTACGTTTCTAACTAATGAATAAAACTAATATGCTATACTACTGAATGGAGACAGAAGAATGAAATATGAAGTGGAATAAACAGAAGGAAAAAACAAGGCAGAAAGCAAAGTAGACTTTGACTTATAAATTTAAACGGTCGACTCACAGCTGATGGATCATAGACTTGAGTTCCATCCCACCTAAACAGCTTTGGTTAGTTCAGTAGTATAATTAGCTGTCTTATGTTAAATATAGCCTCATGTGTAATGCATGCATACTTACGAGGTTCGTGGGGTCATGGATGCACGCTGCTGAAGAATCCCATTTCAGGATGAAACAACTGATCGGTACTCCTATGTTTTCTGTGATTTGCCAGTCAGTCCATAATAATATACTATCTAAAGTCGGTCAAGCCCAAGAAACCACTAACTGGATTGTTATCTGAATGTTGACATGAAACCCACTAATCACCTGTAATGCTTTCTTAACCCACTGTTATCATTCTAATAATAGCGAAACTCGGTTAGAAATACTAATCTCTTTGAACGGATAATACCAGCAGCATTTATATGCTCTCATTGCCTTCACTCTATATCATGCTCTCAACAAAGCTATGTGAATGCACGAAAGAAATGAATACGTTTTCTTGTCGAAATTCGAGCAATTGTAAATTTATAAGTGGATTGAATCTGTGAAATGTGTGTACAGGATCTTAGTGTGATGGTCGACTTTATTCAATCTTATGAATCTAGATCAAGAGCGTCCTTATGGACTGAACGATCAGGATTTATGGACCACTAGATTGGCATGTCAGATTTTGGTGAACCGTTTTCAATGTATTGCTTCTTCAGAACTCGAAAATGTCAAGACGCTTTCCTCCGGATGCTTTTTTATCACCTGTTTACCGAATGATATTGATAATATCTCATAAGAGATTTCCAAACATGCTTCGAAAGTAGAGTGAGGTATCAGGCTTTGGATAAACACTGCGTGGAAAATGTTCATGAGTTTATTGCTTTGCGGATCAAAGATTGGAACTATTTTGCACACATTTACTAAATAATCTTTTTAAATAGTATCTGTTGAAACCGCAAGTTTACCATGTCCTTGAGCATCTTTCAGTGGCAATCTCATTAATTGTGGATTAATTACAGTATTATCAGCAACAGTTAGTGTACGCTGATTGAACATCAGTATTCATTTTGTGGTATGTTTTTGTAAACTACTGTTATTCAGTAGTTTTCACTCATGAGTGTTACCGTACAACTCTTCTCAGTGGGACACTGTTGATGGCATATAAAGACTGGATCTTCTCAGATTCAGTTCATTGTGGCAAATGAGTCTCAGGAGATTAAATGCTGTTTTCCACATGACGCAATAGTTTTATATCTGGTTTGTTTATAGAATTTTCTAACCCATTAGGGATCAAATCCAAAGGTTTATTAAATGTTGTTATAGTGATTGTATGTTTGCTTTTTGGAGTGGCTTTGTGAGTCTAAGCGCTAGATATACTACCCATCTATCTACAACTGAGATTGTATAGTTCCACTACAGTTGTTAAATGAACATACTTAGCTTACTTACGCATGGGATTCATCTTTTGTACTCATCGATAGGCTTTTTATAGCACATAACAGGCGATGGTGTAATACCACATTTATAGAATCTTGTTATCTTGTTAGCACTTTTGTCTGATTGTCGTCATATCTGGTTTTCACATAAAGTTCCGTATAAGGTAAAGTCCTCACATATTTATTTGACTGTTTATTGTATTCAACCATGTGCTATATATTACTTAGCGATTATTATTATTATTATTATTATTATTATTATTATTATTATTATTATTATTATCTGATATCCATATCAATGGTGTGTAGTAGTTTATTTTATAGTTAGTTGTGTATTTTCGGTTTTTATGAAATAAAGTTTAAGTCTCATTCTTATTTAACCCTTCGTTTTAACTCAACAGTATTTACATTTCTTATATTTAAGAGTGTGGTTGTGGCTCATTGGTTTAGATGGTTGACTTTCAACCAGTGGATCGTGTGTTTGAACACTGATCCACCTGCCGACTTTTAAGGATCCAGGTAGTACTACTAGCCCTTCCGCAATAGATATGGCTCATTGCCTACTGCATGTATGTGCACAAGGTTGCTGAGTGGGTTTCAGTTTCGACATTTATGAATGTAGTAGCATGCGTACACCTTTGGTAAACTTGAAAGCTGACTTTACTATAGTCCATTATGTCACGAACTAGTACGAAACTATCGGAAGATATAGTTATCCTCTCTTTCTTAGAGTTCACTTCCAAACAGTTTTAGTCAGTACTTTCAGAGTTGCCTTCAAGTTATATGACCCATCTAAATTAAGAATACTTCCGTCGATATTCATGTGAGGGATATCACTTAAGGCCATTAAGTTATTATCTATTTACTGAAGTGACTGGTTGAGATAATGTAAACTCTATAAAATAGAGATATGGCTCATTAGCTTCAGCATTTAACTCTCACCTAGAAGGTCAGTGGTTCGAGACCTGCTTCACATAGCTCGACTCCGGCAACCAGATAGTAGAAGTGTAGCTAGTAGCTTGATACATAAGTGCCTGTACTGGATTGAATTGCATGCAATTCAAACTCTTTTACTAGCCAGATTCACTGTATTTTCGATAATGTGTAATTGCATGTAAGCACACTGAAGGTAGTAATCAGATATATGTAGCTTTTTGATATCATAAATAGTGTGAACCGTTGAATATGCACAGCAAAAATAGGAGGTGAGAAGATAAAAAATTTCAAGCTGTACGATGAAAAGATAACTGAACTTGTAAAATATACCATGTGAATCAACATAAAGGTAGGGAAAGATGAAAAGAATCGAAAAAAACTTGTATTTAAATAAATGATTGGGGAGAAAAATTGGATCAGAAACTGGACAAGTAAAAAAAATTACAAGACGGAAAATTAAACCAGTCGAACACAATAAACCATTTTTGTATCTATTACAACTAGGTTAAATGGTCTGCAAAAATCTGATAGCGCTCATATTCAATGACGTTTTTGAAATAATATTTCCATTGTTCAAGCAGTAAATCTTATTGGTTGTGATATGTGTACACCTGCACTACAGAGTAATAAGCCTTTAAATTCTGGAGGGTGCGTGGATTTACTTACTGTTTCCGATACATTTTTCTGTTGAGTACCAAAAAAAACCCAATCCTTTGGTTTTCCCATCCATGAGATTTCTTTCTTGTACTTCATTCTCTACTATAACTTTCTTTTCGTTCAAACAACTTAAGCCTAAAATACAATTGATTCCACTTCTCTTGATGTCTGTAGACGCTTTGTTGCTTTTGAACAATACTCATATGTATTGTATGTCTTCTAATAATTACAGAGGTAGGCTAAATCAACCTAGAACCTTGCACATAAGTGCATGGATTCAACTTGTCATACTTCACAATAGTACAAAAGAACGCGTTGATAGAAAACGACTGCTGTCAATGGACATAAATTTGTGTGAAAGAGTAAACGATGTAAACATAAAGGCTAGTGCCAGTAAATACATCTGCGCCATTGTGACTGATTTTCAGCCATCTCTCCAAGAGTTCTCAACCACTGATTCCTGTCGTCTCGGGAACCCCAACCAGACAGTCTACATCTCCTCATACAACTCACGCCAACAGTAAGAGACTTCATCGACTGGTGACACGTCTTCATCTAACCACCCTGAACCCTCTTCCAACCTAATCCAACATCCCCCAACATGGCACATTGAGGTAGGTGGTGGCTTGGCATGCGCAGTACCTGTACAAACCATCTCAGTCGACTAAGGTTCACAACCTTACCAATTGAGTTGGTTGTCTTGCCTAGCCTAGTGTCCTTCGCCTGACCTCAACATTGCTCACACGGCGACTCTACCAAACGCGAACAATGCTACGAAAACACCTATGATTAAACACCTGCAATCACTTCATGTCTTCTACTTTCAACGGCCATTTCTCGTCTCAAAGCTGTATAACAGAACAGAACAGACTGCAGCGCAGTATACTAGTCCCTCAACAGGTAGTCGCATATCTCGGCAGTTGGCGTCACAGATGATGCAAGTTTGCGAATGAGAAACGGGCCTTCTGTGGTGTCCCAGCTCATATTTTGTCAGCAACCAACCTGTTCGGGCTGATGCAAAACTCTCCAAGTAAGTGAAATGATCGACACATTCCACCACATCACTCCCTATCAATAAACTCAGAGTGGTTGTACACCAGTCAACCCACGAGCATCATTTTGCGTTTCACAGGTGCGAAACTCATGCCAGACAAACATACTCAGATTTCTGCTTAACTTCTTCACATGACCCTGTATTGCGTCAGCGTCTTCACCTAGTAGGACAATATTGTCTGCATACTCCAAGTCAACCAGATGATATCCAGGTAGGGGAGTAGGTGAATCTTTGTGAAGTCAGAAGTACCAAAGGTGGTGTTCATTGCTACATGTATAAAGAAATTAAATAGGAACAGTGACAGAGGGTATCCCTGGTGGACACCACTAGTTGTCGTCAATTCACATGACAAATCTGCATTAGCCCTTACAGGGTTGCGTGAATTCGAGTAGATAGCTTTGATTAGCGTTATGTAGTTTCTCGGTATTCCCTTCACAATCGCACACCACCACGACACCCAATGGTTGACAGATTTAAATGCCACCTTCAGGTCAAGAAATATGGCAGGTGTTGGCTGCCGGTAGGTATACGTGTGTTTCAGAAGCTGTCGGAGGGTGAAAATATGATCGATGCAGCCTCGTTCAGCTCTGTGTGAAACGCAGATGGTTTTTTCGAGACCCAGTGAGGCGTCAGATGACTATACACCCTTGGATATTCTACGTCATATTTGTCAAACTAATTTTTCTGTTGATGTTTAATACTTATGTGAATAAAATTATTCTTTTTACGTGAACTAGAGCGTTCTTTATGTTAGCTACTTGGACTTGGATTTAAAAGGGTCTTTCAATAACTATAGGTTATTGCTGTAACTCTCGGAATTTTGTCGAAAAATTGTTTAAATCCTTTAAGTTGTCAGTTGTCTGTAGAGAAGTGACTGTTTTGTTATGACAGAAACACCTAAGAATTATCTTGGTGTTTAGTATTTACTCTAATGAAATTTATCCATTGTCAGTTGCTTAGAAACCTTGTCAACTTTTTAAAAGCAGTATTTGATTATTTAGGGTAGTGACCTAATGGTGGTCGTTTGTCGCACCGAATTGATTCGATATGACCTGGTCGACTAATAAGTGACAGTAGAAATTTATCAAGGTGAATGTTACGGAAACCAGAATATTTGACTGACTGTGTTTACCTGCCTATGAGTATACACGAAAGCCGAATTGAGTGTTATCAAGAGGACTGAGAGAGTGATTGACTGGTATAATGTCGTATATTTAATAGGGCTACTACTTATCTATAAACAAGTGAAATTCGAAATTATGTGACCATACAAAACTAAACATGATGTTCTGTTCACCGTCGGATTAAGTAATTCATGTGAATGAATCAAATACTTTTCAATCTGATAAACAGTCTGAAGTTCATATAACTGTTATAAACAGATGGATCACATGATTATTCCGACATAATTTCACTATTTTTTGATAAGGTACGATGAACTTGACTGTTAACCTACTTTATCTTCATACGCACTGTCTTAATAATTAGCGTCATATGTCTCCTTTTGTTGGGTGTCCGTTCGTTCCCTATTTCAATCTTATTTGATTCATAGATATAGCATCATGTTGATTCTATGAGATATCCTGTATTTCACTGCTTGGAAAAAAGCATCGCCTTTACCAGTTAAACTCGAAGACTGGAGTTGACGCGTGTTTGTCTGTTTTAAGATAATTGCTTTAATCACCACATTGAAAAGAGATAATATGACTTCCTTTTAACGCCAGATAAAAACGTAGATTTCCATTCTTATGAATCACCCTTGAAAACACAATCTACATAGTCAGTATGTACACTTGAATCTTTGTGTATGTTTTCATATTTATGAGTTGTGCTCCGTCAATGAGTCTTGAGCTGTTTCAGCTGGTATGCACATTCTTGTATCAATTAAACTTCATCTCTTTTGTGAGAGGAACGGTGACTACTTCTTATTATTGTAATTGGTTGATCAAATTCTAGTGTGGGAAAATGCTAGTAATGTAGCTCAGCATATGTGTTTGTACTTGACCGCAAACCAAATCTCTCGCAAGGGTTATCAATGCTACTTGAATGTCTAAAGTGGGGTAGATGCATTAGAGTTAGAACAACTAGCCTACTGAACGTAATGAATCACTTCTTTCCTGATTGGCGTAACCAGTTTTTAGTTTTGTATACATTAAGGGAAAAATCTGTTCTAAAATAATTGAATTGTATCATACAATAATCTTAAGAACAATTATTTTGTTTTAGGTTTCCCCTGTAAAGAATTACGATGTCGTTTAGCTATCGCAATAACAGCGAATTTCATCAATTATCACACTCCAGCTGAAGCTCAAGTTGAAGAGATAAGCGGCGTAGCTCGTATATTCAACCAGTCATTTTTCTCTCGTCTTGCCTCAGAAACTGGAATTGACTTAGAAAATATTGTTTATTATAAAGATGAAACGCATTATTTTGTTATGACAGCAAAAAAGCATAGTTTACTGGCAAAAGGTGTATTGAAACAAGTAAGATTATTTTGTTTTTAAAAACTATATGTGTCTATGTATTATTATATCATTACACATTACTATCTTAAAATTTGTATTGCGCTTCACCAGATGATTACAGCGTATACAAAATAACTTTCGCACTAGTCATGTGGTGTAAATTCGCAGGACCAGTGAAAGTTAGAAGAGGTTGGATGATAAATTATGCTATATTCCCTGATTCTAGTCTTACTCCTTAAGCGGCTGATTCTTTTCCAAGGAGTTTCGAGGTCTGATCAGTTTGTATCAACTTTCTAGTTGGTATTCATCACGGACTGACATCAGCTGAAGAATCATTGGGAACCTGTGGGCTGTTTCGCCCTAGTATGGGACGCCTCAGCAGTGCACACTCATAACTTCGCCAAGGATTGAACACAGGATCAACTTGAAATCAATAAATAAATCTTCACAAACCTCCGTATTGAATTACTGTCTAGTGCTTGTTAGTGACTTGCTCCGAGATGAGATTCCCGAACTTCTAGTGAGAAGTCGTGAGTGGTGGAGGAAAACCATGTTGTATGTGAGGACAGTTACTCAACTATGGCATTGGACGGAGGTTGAGCTATGTCGCGAACTGACATAAGTAGGAAAATGTGGGCCATTGTATTTTGACCCAGTGGTTCATTGGTCAGCTGCTGTCCGTGGAACCTGAAGGTCCTGGGTTTGACCTATGTTAGGGTCATGATTGCTCATTGCTCAGAATCCTCATACTAGGGCAAAACAGCTGTCAAGTGCTCCTGGGGTTTTTAGTGGTTCTTCAACAGATGTCAGTCCATGATAAATATCAACTTGAAACCAATGAATAAATACCCCAAAACCTTCAAATTTAATTGTGTCAATTTTGTTCAAGGTAAATAAAAAGGCATAATTCAACGTATTGAATCACAGCAATCATCTGTAAGAGCTCAAAGGGATGATAAGATATAAGTATCATACTCTCGGTAAGCCACACCACTTTTTGTACACCAACTATCAAATCACTTTATTATTATATGAGCTTAATGCTGTAAGTTGTATGCAAGCTATTCGCTTTTGCAGTCGTCATCTGTCTTCATGTGGCGGAATTTGCCAATGGCATATCTTAGTATGAAAAATAAAATATGCGATACACTGTAGATACATCTTGCATGTGCACGCAAAGATATCAATTGACTAACCTGAGAGAATAGAGGGAGATGAAGTAACCAGAGATATCCTTTGAAATAAAAAGTTATCGATATTCATCCAACTAGTATCATCTCGACGTTAAACCTTAACTTTATCAGTCTCCTATTTTGACGATTTCATATCTAACCAATTATTAACAACCACCTACCTACCAACATTCTGTTAAACAATTTCGAATAACTTTTCCCAGTTAATTATAATGCCGGAAAAAAATCTTGTCACAACTCATTTGTGACTCAATTCTTTCTACTGGTAAAGATTTTAGTTCTATTCACATCTCAGTAATATATCGAAATGCATTTTATATAACTTGGTATTTGAGGGTAATTATTTGTTATTAGTTTGGAATCAGTTAAACAGGATGAATATAACTGGTAGTTTAAACAATACGATCATGATATACATATTCACATTTTCCAATTTACCGTTATGTGAGGCTTGGAAATCTCTTTGAATTGTTCAGTGCCTTAAAACAACACACTTATGCATGCATCGATCAACCCTTTTGTTTCATGTCTTTTTCTCAGTATGTAAAAATATCATCAGTTTGCAAATAACACAAATGCTGACAAATATTCTTGGTATGTTACATCTAGCATAGGAAATAAAACAGTCTTTTCTTCCTGTTCTCCTGCAGAGGAAATAATATTTATATCCACTCTCTTACCATTTCTGATGAAGTATTTCCATCACTTCCATTACTTTTTTTACCTGTTGGTTGTCGAATAGGCTTTTCTCCTTAATTAATTCTTTCTTCGTACTGTAAGTACTGGAAAAATATATCACCTGCGCGGTGGCATATTATATGAGTGTTCAGATGTAGAGTGCGCGACCATAAATGTAAATATTGGTAAATCTTCATTAACATGTATTCCATTTTGCAATAGTGACGAAAACAGCTGGTCATATTATTCCTTATTGCCTTTGGTGGTGTGCGGTGATATGGCATATCTTGTCAGCTTGTAGATAGATGAGATTTGTTATGTTTGTTGATACACGTGTGGAAATAAAAAAGCATGAATGTTTAGGAGATAAAGACTTCCTAGTTAAAAAATATTTCTACTGATATTTTTCTTAGTGCTCTTTTCCACTCTCAAGGTAACGCGAATTTCTAAAGATGTGTCGAAAAACTCTCGTCATCTAAAGTAAGCGCTAGTTAACCATTTTAAAAAAAACAGCTGAAATGTCAGACTAATTCAGAATGAATAGTTTGGGGATTTGTAAATTTTTTTTATAGCATAGTAACGTACAAAATCGGACACTATAAGGAGATTGATGCATGAAAAAGGAGACACGCATTGGTGCTCACGCTTGAACGACTGATAAACTTGGTCATACTAAGTAATGTCACTGATAACTGTGAATTTAATTTTGGTACTTATATGACTAGAGCTTCTTATGATTACTTGCGAATAAGTATCGCTTACAGTCGACTCTGATATTCTGACACTTGTAAATAGCCGACTTAACTGAATACAAATCAAACATTGGCAACCATTGTACTATTTATTTAATCATTTACAATTCACGTGCTTGCACCTATGAATTACAATTACTAGTATCTGAGTTTGACCTTTGAACTATAAGATCTAAAACAATAACAATATTATTATTATTATTTGTCCTTTGGCTTCCTAGTGGAACATAGGGGCTTCAGTAGCATGCCTCCATTTCACTCTGTTCTCTGCAGTCTTTGGAACCTGATGCCACGACTGTCCACCAGCTTTCATTTCTTCCTCACACCATCTCCTCCATCTCACCCTCGCCTCAGAGATCCAATTCGTCATTTGCCCTTTAAGTCCCACTCAAGGGCCTGGCCTGGAGCGTGATGTCCCCAATCGGTCTTCTCAGTGCATGTCCAAGCCATCTCCACTCTCTTCTGCATATTTGTTAGGCGATGGGTTCTTGGTTGGCTCTCTGCTGGGCCAGAGTTCCTTCTTGCTTATTCTTATTATTCTGGCCATCTGATCTTCAGTGTCAGTATCGAGTGAGCGTAGGCAGCAGCTGTTAATGAATGTCTGTAGTTTGTTGGAAGTGCTTTTCGTAACGCTCCAAGTTTCTGAGCCATATACCAGCACTGACTTGACTGATATGAGTGTTGAAAATCCGCATCTTGTTCACGCTTTATACTGAGTTGATTGGAGTAGATCTCCATAATGATTTCTAGTTAATGAATGCCTGTCTTGCTTTTCCGATCTTGGCTGGCTTTGACGTCCTAGTCTGTGCTGCCGCCTGTAGTTGAAACGATGCTGCCTAGGACGGTAGGTGAAAGAGACTACTTCCTTTCTGTTTCTCCCGTTGATGGTGATTGGAGCTTGTTGTTGTTGTTGGTTTGGTATCTTCATCACCTCTGTCTTCTCTGCATTCACTTGAAGTCACGTCTTCGCTACCCTGCCTCTTCTGTCAACTTGTTAGTTTTTACCTGTAGATCTTCGAGCTTGTGCGACAGGACATTAGACACATATCCAAATCTTCTCGACTCTTTTCATCGGTCCAGCCAGCTTATGCCCGTCTTTTCCCTTTTCACGGTTTGCTACATGATCCAGTCCACCACAATCAGGAATATCATGGGTGATAGTAGACAGCCTTGTCTTACGCCGTCCAGTCTTCACTTCACAGACATCACTGAGCTTCCCATTGTGAATTACTTGGCATGTGGCGTCTTCATATAGTTGTTGAATGAGGTTCATAAAGGTTTGTGGTATCTATAGTGTTGAAGCAGTTTTCAAATTACTTCTCGGTCGACACTGTTGAAGGCCTTTTCAAAGTCGATGAAGTTGAGGTAGAGAGCTGACTGCCATTCTATGCTCTCTTCTATGATGATGCGTAGCGTAGTGTAGTGTAGTGTTGCGATTTGGTCCGCACATGATTTGTACTTCCTGAATCCAGCTAACCTGTTCCGGTTGTAGTTTTGAATCCAGTGCATCCTTTAGTCTCTCCAGGATGATGCGGCTTAGTATTTTGCTTGCTTTGGGTGGACAAAGAGGGAGCATGATTCCGCGCCAATTCATGCAAACACTTAGGTCTCCCTTCTTTGAGAGTTTGACAAGGTAGTCCTTCTTCCAATCTGTGGACAGGTACCTTTCCTTCCTTCATTGCAAACCTTCTGCAGTAGTAGCGTGAACATGTCCACTGTTGTCTCTGTGTCTGTTTTCAGTGCTCCTGGAGGAATTACATCACCCTGCTGCTTTCCCGCATTTCAGCAAGTTTATGGTGTTCAGGACTTCTGCTTTTGTTGGAGGACATGTGTTCGTTCACTTGTGGTTCTGCCGTTACTGCTGGTATTTCTGGACGAAGTGCAGGTGGTGATCAATTCAAGAGCTTTTAGACGTGGTCAGTCCATTGTTTGCTTTGTTTCTCCTCTTTGGTAACTAGCTTTCCTTCACTATCTTTCATTGGTTTCGTCTGAGTTGATCTCTTCTATGCGAGATAGATAGTGACCTGGTTATTTTATACAACGTTGTTAGGTGTCCATTTGGTGAAATACATGTCACCTTGTGGATATCCTTGTGTTTGTACGCGCTGCCTCGACTCACCAAGTCATTAAAGGCACGGAAGTCTGCAAACAGTTCTCCATTCTCATTCATTTCACTGAATGCTTCTTGACTCATGATTAGTTCCCTTCCTGTGTTATCCTTTCCGACTTTTGGCATTGATGTTACCACACCTAATTGGAGTGAGGTCTTGTCCGTTAATAATGGTGGTTGTTTGTAGAATTCCTACTTATTCTCTTTATCTGAATTATTTCTACTTAAGTAGCGTAGCATTGTATGGTTGTGACTCTCCTTCATTTTGAGTTGAATCTTGTTGTCATGATCCTGCAGGAGGAGATTGGTTCCCACTGCATGAGAGCCTTCAATGGTTTTGGAGACATCATGATAGCCACTCCAAAACTCAGTGTGCTGGTGATTGTCGTTTGGGGGATAATATCAGAGTAGATTATTGACTCTCAAGTTAAGAGTTTGGAGAGTCCTCTTCCATTCCATCTTCTTTTGCAGATTCACAGCACTTTATGCCATTACCTCCCCATCTATTTTACAATCTGGGCAGCCTTAGTAGGTTCATACATTGTGTGGACATTCCGTGTCTACATGTTTACTTTTGCTTTCATTGAGAGAAGAGAAGACACATCGGCTGATTGGCTTCTTGAATTCGTTCACCAACCGGCGTCATTTCGTCTCCCCAATTCCAGAGAGGAATAAATTCATTATTATTTATATATTTTTGGCGCTTTGAAGTTTCTTTGGCGATTGGATTGGTTTTCCGGCTAAGGGTTGCTAGCCCTATGCCCAACCTTCCCTGGTTATCGGGGCTTAGCACAGGCTAATAACTAATAAGCTAGTTATTTAGGCGAGGTTAAGACCATAATAAGTGAATATGAAGGTACTTATAAGAGAATAGCTACAAAAGCCCACGATGAAATAACCATCCCGGTCTTCATTCGGCGAATTAAAGATATTTAATCAATACAACTGTTAGAGTTCTACATTTGGTTTTTGCAAAGGTAGAAGGATTATCCTACTCGCTTGCTTACGCTATAATTTAAAATGTAGATTTATTTGTCAGCACTATGCCATGACCAATGTGATAAACGCCAGTGAGAATTTACTGTGAATATTCATCGATTACATGACTAGCGAAGTGTACAGAGTTCCCTTCATTGTTTCCAGTTATAGCAACCCTACTATAAATGGTTTTGTCAAAAATAAAAAAAACTTGTCATATCAACTCCAAACTACCAACATTTTTTTTAATGATAGTTATTTGGATAATAACGAAATAAAAACTACTGCAAAAATAGTGAAATATGCATTACTGGCTACACACCTTACCAGAGTTAGGCTGCAAATTGTATATCCGTATTGTGAAGAAAACAAATATTGTTCATCCTGTTCAAATGAATTTGGCGCACTATATAGCGGTGTTTGGAATGTTTAGAATTCTTAAGAAAAATTACTTTGAAAAATAATCCAAACTTATTTGCAGTCCAACGTAAACGAAGATAAACGTATATCGTTTTCTTGATATTATAGTAATCTGTGTGGATGCATACGTACATTAATATTCGAGTGTTGATGAGTGGTAAATGAGATAAATCGCAAAAGGTGGTGCTTTCTCATAAATTATGTCCTGCGCTAACATTTTTTTTACATATTATCCAGCGCATACTTATTCTGAAATTGTAGACTTTGTTTTGAAACAAATATTTCAAAGATGTGATTATTTGTAGTCAGCGTAATCACCGTTCGACACAAAACATTGTAATGTTTATGATTATTCCTTAGTTCAGTTGTGCTTTTTACAACAGGCAATTTGTATGTTCTACTCTTATCGTATAGCCTTTTTGGCTTGATCATATAGCTATGGTTGCTATTCATGAGGGTTTATAGTGTAAGAATTGACTGTGATAAGTTAGGCTTAGTGGCAAGTGACATGAAACACTAGAAAAATTTATGCTGTTCATTAGTGTTTATCAATGTGATGTATTTAAACTATATCTCCGTGTTTGATTCAAACCGTTACCACTCAAAACTCGATCAGAGATATTTTCAAAATGACGTTTTCAGCAAGATTAACTAAATCGAATAAACTAATTTTCCACTGGATAGTCTGCACACTGCATAATATAAATTTAAGTGAAGCCTCCTGTGTACGGTTGATAACACACTTTATTCATTGCAAGAATTTGAACTTCCGCAAACATTAATGATGGATAGTGGCTAGCAGTAAAAATCCAGGATGCGCATTTCGTCCTATTTTGGGACTTGTCAGCTAGGTGTACCTGCCTCCTAGTGAGCGATGCTGTTCCCACCGAAATTCGGACTCGGAAGTGATCGCTTCAAGTGCCATCGAGCCACGATAGCCACTATTTGTGCGATGGGTATAGTTTTTCAGTATAAATGCGTGTTTACTTTTACAGTGGGACTTTGTTCTAGTAGTTTTTAGTGTGTAACTGTGTCCACTATTCGATATACACTGTTTCAGTGGAGTAGTCACTGTTGCACTTCTCTTATGTTTGCTTACAATTTTTATTTTTTTGATTACAGTTTTCAAAACTAGTTAGATTGTCAAGTTTAAAAATTCATTTGAAGGCAGCTGATAGTCAGTGAAACTAGTGAGGTGATGTTCTCATTATATATATATATATATATATATATATTCGCTCTCGACTGGATCCGTTTTGTAAGTCAGTTAATTCCGTGATTTTATGCGCACGTGAGCGCATGTGTGTGCATTTGTATCACAGCGTTACTAAACTCGATAGGATACAAACAAAAACGTAACTGAATTGCATCTATCAGTAAGATTATTGACACTAAATCAATTACAACTAATTGATGTTTTGTTAGATATATCAATCAATTTTATGCTGATTTCTCAGTTCATCCCTTCGTGCTCTTTTTTTGTTTTTTTTTTCACATACGTCTGACCTCAGTTTTTTACTTGATATTTTAATAAAATACACTTGAAGAATCAAGCTGCGCTTAAAATACCACAATGACGATTCGTAGGCTACCACTTAAAATTAACTTATACTGAACTTATATCTTTGAGATGCAAATAAAGGATCACGGAAGGATATATAGTAGTGTCTAAATCTAAATTACAACGTGTCTCATGCTATGGAAAAATGTTATAACCTTAAATATATCAATGAAAGGTTTGTGGAATAGATTTATGTACCATAAGTAAATTTTTAATGCAAAGTTTACATATTATGATAAGTTTTTATCTTGGTAACATTCCAAGCAAGATTACATTCCCTGATCCCAACTATAGTTGGAATGTTTGATAATATATATATATATATATATATATATATATATATATATATCATTCCCTTGCCTATTTCCTGTTCCTTCTAGACTTGAATATCTGATTGACTTTTATCTCTTCAATCTGCTATTTATACTTTGGTTCACGTGCTTTCTGTCGAAACGTCGGTGCAGCACGATTGGTTTTAAAAAGCTTTAGGAATTGAGGGCTTTATATGGAGATTATAGCAATTTTATTCCACACTGTAGCGCTATAGACGACCCTTTTCCTGCTTTTCATATATACTGACGTAATGTTAAACAGTTCAATTCACTGACGTGCATACTTCTCGCTATAAAGCATAGATAGCTGAACAGTATCGGTACCCATAAGACAAGGGTCCTGGTAGACCACTTTTCCAATGAATATCTAGGTCTTATTTTCAATGTTAAATTTGTTATTTGCTTCATTAGTTGTATATCGTGTTAGTATTTCTTTACTCATCGTTTTTCTCATGTGTTTGCCTTCACCGTCTTTGCTAATCACATTTGACCATTCCTGTTGTAACAATCTGTGCCGCTTTTAATCAAGGATCGAGATGATTCAGTTAGTCTACTAAGTAAAGATAATGTGGACAAAAAAGCTTTACAAGCATATGCAAGAGAAACAGCGTCTTATGTTACAAACGGTGCCCTGACACGCTTAGATTTTGCTTTGAATTCACGTGGTGAACCAGATGTGGATGCATTCGATTTCACACGGATGTTTGCTGCTGAACATTCATGCAATATACTTGAAAAGAATCATTGTCTTTTATTACAATGTCTTATTGGTGATGGACTGTATGAAGTAAGTTGATTTTCCTATCTATATGAAAAGTAAAATTACAAATACGAAATCCTTATAATTTTTTGGATGTTTTGAATTTTTTCAAGTATTTCGGTTATACAACAGATTAGTATGCTTTTTCATACTATTAGGTATATCAACGATACCTAAAGTTAACTATCTTCAATGTGAATCTCATGTCTCTAATAGTGTATGGTTTCTGCATCAGTGTTTGAACTGCCATTGAATTGATACTGGCGACTACCAGATTCATTTGTTCAAGTCAATAATTAATTACAATGACATTATTTGCATGGAGGCAATCGACAGAAAGCTCTCGACCCAGGATTTATTTTTGTTCTCATTCGTCAACAGTGCGTATCTGCAACCTTGAGGGAACTGATTTCCTTTCTGAGATTCAAAATCAGGTAACGACGTTACTATTGAAGTATTTGGGACGTGGTCGATCTTCTACAGGGCTGAATTCAGTACATTCATTGGTCCCTCGTGAGTAACCAATATCATGTTATCTAGTCGTAAATGCTGATAGTGTTCTGTCGATCATTTTGCTATATGGCCATCAAGCTAAGAGACTCACCATCATGATGTCGGATGCAGGCATTTAACAGTAAACCCTGAACCTATTCTCCTGTAAATAATATGGTTTCATTGTGTAATGCATGTGATAAACAACCTAGGTTGATTTTATACTACAGTGTTTATCATGTTTATGATATCGTGAAACAGTTAGTTTGCCTTCTTGGATGTCAGAATTACACATTTCAATGTAGGTAAATTCCCTCCATTAATGGATGACTGTAACTGGTCTTCAATTTTGATTGAATATGCGAATAACAATAATTCAATCTGCAATTCCATATTAGATATGAAATGATCAAATGGTCAGGTTATTCATATCTGTTAGGGTATAACGTAATTTCATTCCGTTTTAATTTGTATGCATAGTTTTCAATAGAACAACTGTTATTTGGCAATTTTGTTTTCTCAGTACTATAGTGGTGTTTTTATATCTCTTTTGAAAAGCATTGCACTTTTATCTATCCAACAAAATTCCTCACATTACTGACATTTATTTGAAAAAACCTGCATTTTGTTTTCTTCAGTCAGTGTTTATATTGTCTTATTTGCACAAAGTAACCATCATCTACGCTAATCGCTCATTCAATTAACTTTCTTTCTCTGATTGGTTTCTGCGTTAGATATTGTTTCGTTGTATTCTTTGGTGACATTCCATTTTTTGGAGAGAGAAGGTGAAATTCCAAAGATTGTTTCATTTTCACTCTCGATTTTCGCGTTTTGCCAGTGTATCTTTTAAGAAATTTATGGATGTGCGTTCTATAGTTTGTATAAATACTGACTTGATTGTTTTCGAACAGTTCACGTTTTGATTCCCCCTTTTGTCCTTTCATTTCTTCTCTCACAAGAAATAAATTCTTTAATGATTTCGATGAGTTACTTGGTGATCGTTTTTGGTGCCAACTTTTAATATTGATATTGGCGATGGATAGTGGCTAGCAGTGGAATCCAGAACCGACATCTCCTCCCATTCAGAACTCGTCAGGTGGATTAACCTGCCCCCCAGTGAGTAATGTTGTTCCCACCAAGACCCAAATCTGGAACCGGTCGGTTCAAACGCCAGGGTGTTATCCATTAAGTCACTGAGTCACTATAGCCACTTCTTGTGCGACGCGATGCCTCAATATTCCCTGTTATTTTCGTTTTGAAAGTAATCATACGTTATGGCTAAAAATGGAATCCAGAACGCGCCCTTCGATGTATTTCAAAAAAAACGCGTCACATTGTACGCATCAGGCTTCGTTCATCTGTACTAATTCAAACCACGGTATGACACTCACAGTATTAGACGTCTTTCCACTTTTTCATTGGGTAGGTGGCAAAACTTACCGGGAAACATTGCGCATCCTCACAGTAAAGCAGAGTGATGATTGAATCGAATTCAACAGTACTCTGAAAATAAAAGTTCCGCTTTGGAAATGCAATAAACAAAGTCATAATCATAAAAGGACAGTAATGATAAAAAGAAAATTATGAGGACAGTCAAAAATGATTACGGTCATCATAACAAGCTGCTAAAGCTATTTTATAAACAAGTTCACATGCCTCACTCCTGTCTCCAATCTTTGCACATGTTTTCTGAAATGTATACCAGTAAATACTTTGGGAGTACAAGTCTGAAAACGCCAAACTACCTAAGCGATAAGGTGTTCGAAATGAAGAAGATTCAGAATATATATATTATATTGAAGTTATATTCAACCACTGATGCCTAGGATTTACTTAATCACTTTTTCCAAATATGCACTTGTGAAATGAAGCATATCAAGGTAGAGTAAAGCGCTCAAATTTACCTCTTTATACTGAGTGATACTGGTCTTATGGGTTGAAATTAGAATTCAAACTTTATGGCGCAGGTATTTAGTCATTCTTTGATTAGTTGGATTTCAGTTGTTTATGCGTTCTAAAATACAAGGATAGTATGTTTATGAATGTGTTTGTGTGTGAATGGAATTCTTGTGCTTTCTTCAACAATAGTGATTCACTTCCACTTTTTGTACGCGATTTCATTAGGATTTGTATGTTTGTCTATCTATCTTTTCTGTCCATGAAGATCTAATCATTAGAAAAAAAAATAAACGTTTGTGGCATCAAGTGTATGAATTGGCTTACTAAA